TTTAATGCATTCGTGGTGGCTTGGAATGGAATCGCTTAATAAGTAGGAGCAAGTATTAGCTGGTATGAGATCACTTGCATTTATTCTCCCTCCGTTGATTTCTTTTGGTGCGCAGATGTTCCTTAAAGCATCAGTTGCGAACTGTTACAGTTCTTGACATTTTTTTCCAAGCCTTGGTTCGTGAATAACCTTCTATTCACCAACTGAGGGCGCACGTTACCTCTTCTCTAACTGTCATGAGGTTCCTCTATTAGGGAGATCTGTGAGATGGGAGGGAGCTTTAAGAAAAAGTGTTCAGAAGATAAAACATTTAGCAGTTCTGTCCAACATGAATATAAGTCATAAACATCGACCAAAACAAACTTCTATCGGCAATACACTTATCACAGCGATCACTGATGAATTTAAAGTCATTTATTGTAATAAAAAATCGCTCTATTTGATGTTGCGAGAAAAACAGGCACAGTTGAATTGAAAATTGCAAGAACAAAAAGATATAAAACGAAAGGGGACGTGGCAGAATTAGTCGTGTCGAGATGATTCGGCCCTCATAGTAGCTTCAAATACATTTCGTAATTCAATTCAAAGTTGAAGGTTTCATCTGCTAACTGTATTGCCCATGGACATCGTCCTCGAGCATCTTCGCTGCTGAGCAGCTCTTCCATGCCGGCCTTGTTGGCCATGGCCAAGGTTCATCATCCCTTGGCCCAATGGGGTGCACTCTCGCACCTCCCGTGGCTACTGCCACTTTGGTGGCGGGCTACCGCGTAGAAATACATTCCACATTTCGTGCCCGCCAGGAGTGCCGAGCTACCGAGGGTAATCGGTGCACGACACTCGCGGCATGCAATCTATCGGCCACTGGCCATTGCCTCCGCTTCGTATCCACAACGGTTTTGACGATGTGCTCCAACACTTGTGGGCGCCGGCTGCCATCGACAAATCTTCAAGTTGTTTTCACAAATATTCGTACTAGAGCGATTAATTTAGAAACACATATTTTAATTGAAAATAACGGAATGTTTTTTGCTGTGGAAGTTTCACTCCTTGTTTTCATTGATAATTCACAGTAATTAATAGATGAATTAATTCTACAGGTGATACATGTGAATTTATTGCATTCTTGGTAATAAACTCCTTCCCAAATGGAATTCTGAGTCGAAGTTTTTCGTCAGTGCAAGTTATTGCCGCTTGTAAAGCAGAAACTCTCATTCTACACTTTGCACTGTTCGATCCAATATTCAAACAAGGAATTAAAAGTGAAAGGAAAGTGGATGATGCATTGTAGTGTGAAATTTCCTCTTGCATTTCGGCATCCACTTAAATTTATACCCAGAGAAGAACCCGTCTACTAAAGCGAACTGTCAATATATAACGCTCCGGATGAAGTATATGTTATGCACGTAAGATAGGGATATGACATATGCTGGATATCTGCTCCATGCGACGTGTCTCATGATATTGTTGCTCCCACTGGGAATTTTGATGTGAATTAATGTTTCGTTTGGTTGGCTCCTCACTACGAATTGGCCAATCCATCGCTGAAGCCAGTATTTAGATTTCTACACATATGTACATACATGGGTATAGATGTATCGTCTCTTGTTTACATGCTCATGGATAGAAATTCATTTTTGCTAGAGCGCGTGTAACGCAGTGGTCAGAGGCGCCCTGCAGGACACGTGTGATCGATTCCCTCGCCCGAGGCTCACCAAGCCTTCCACCTGTCTAAGGTCGGCAAATTAACAGCAGGCTTGTCTGGGATTATAGGAGCACTGGCTCTATACATCGGTAGGCCTCCGCTAGTCATTCTAAAGGCCAGATATGCACCTCCAAACGATGCTTAATGAAATCAAATGCACGGCGCATCCCTCAGGGATCGACCAATATCGAGAACCTTTGTTAAAGTATCCAGTTACATAGATTCGCTGTGAGATTCGTCTAGAACTACCGTAACGTCTTTCATTGCAATGATAATTAATTACGAACAAAATTTTAGTTCGACTGAAGTAACGACTAGTTCGTTATCATAACAGCCGCAGTAATTCGACCAGAATGTGCACAGTAGTCATTTGAAGATTCATTTAAGGTTAACAGTTTCCTAGACAATATCATAAGATGGGGACGAGATGATGCAAAGTAGTTGAGTGATTCTGTCACAATTCATGCTCTGCAAATTCTTCAACTATTTTTACTATGGGTTTTATCTTTTACAACGACATTTAGGAGGAGATGACACTTATGTCAACATATGACTAAGGTAACAACTTTGGTTAGATTGCTTATTCTAACAAGACCTAACACTCTCAGCTCTTTGCTTCGTTGTTTTACAACCATAATTCGTGCCAGGTATAGGACTTCCCCTAGGCTTATCTCCTCTGCTTCCTTGATCTACTCTAATTATTTTGGGAAAAATATGTGTATTATATACACATATATGCACTGTTTCTTCACAATCGTTGACGTTACCACCTGGAGCTTCTACCTTAGACGTGAAAGCGACGGCAAGGCTTGGTGCTAAACACTGTTCCATGGTCAGTCTTCTAATTTCTGCAAAATATTTTTCAGACCACCTAAAGATTGAACATCTAAGACACTGCTTTAAGAGAGCCATTAGTTGCGCAGTCAATAAGCCTGCATTTTAACTTTCTCTTCGTGCTCTGCGAGCAGCTGGAGAATGACTTGCATTGCCGAGTCATTCCACACGTTAGTATAAAGCGAGGTAACATCGAATGACCCCATTGCATCCGTGCTGTTTGGTTGTGCACACCGTAGGTGATCTAGAAATATTTTGGTGCTAAGTAAATGGGTCGGAATAAATTTCAGCAACTGGGTTAGGATAAGGTTAAGGAATCACGCTATCCTATGCGTTGGTCACATAACTGATGATTGGACGGATAGGTAGACGCAAGGTCGTCAGTAGAAGTAAGTTTATGGATCTTAATAAGCAAGTATAGGATAGAACACGTTCGATGGTCGTTCTTAAGCCGAGAAATAACTGAAGGCTCTAAGCCCACTACCTTTGCCGTGTTCACCCACTCCATACTTAACTTTCGGTGTTGAAGTGTATATTCCTTTACAGAAGGTGCTCGATAGAGAACACTCATTAAGAACTTGTACCACACAGTAAAAATTGTGTGGGCAGCAGAAGAGGAAAGGAAGGAGTCGTTAAACTTGGCACGAAAAATAGCCATTTTCAATGGCTACGAAGTACAAGCCACTCTTGTTAGACAAAAACGCAGAGTTGTTCTTCAAAATAATGTTTCGGGAGTGAGTAAGATCCTTTTTAAGCTACCTTTCATATCAAATGAAGTATGTTACGCCATCAAGAGGTGCTTAAGGAAAAGTGGTCTTGAAAATTGTGTAACGATTATTGACTTCCCACCCAATACTCTAACTCAGTTCGCACCCGCCTCTATGATCGTTGTGCAGCTTAGAAAACTGCATGGTCTGTCTTAACGGGAGAAACGGGGTTGCATGAGTTCAGGTACAATATATTTGATCTCATGTAAGGCATGCGGTGAGGAATATATTGGAGAAACGGGTAGATCGTTTTGTGTTCGCATAAAAAAAACACCTAGATGGGAAAGTTAAAGTTCGTCAAAGCACTCTCTATAGGCACTCATAGGGCACAAAAGCACAATGGCGACGATTTTGAAGTGATTGTTCGAATCCTGGTGCAAGAATCGAAAACATCAATGCGCAAGACTCTTTCTTGGTTAAATTCCAAAAATCCATAGATGAATCGGAAAGATGAATGCCTCACTATCACACTTGACTTGGCGCCCTATTTCAAAATGTTATTTTGACCCCTGGGTGTGCCTCGCTCGCGACTCCACGTGAACAACGCATGGGTCAATCCCACTCGTAACACCACGGTGAGTAGCCTTTTTGATCAATATGGCGTCTATTTAAAAGTTTCAACTTCATTAATACTTTAGTCTTTTTCTTTCACCGAATAATTAAAGAATTCTTTTATAAAATACGTCCAGGCTCTGAGGAAGGTGAAATCGCCGGAACGTCAGCCACCGACCAACAAACACCAACAGCAACGAAAACAACTACGATAACGACAACAAAGACCTATACCAACCTCGCATTATCTCAACAAGATCAGTTTGTAAGATCATATAAATAAATATGCTCTTTTACAAAATTCGTTCTAATGCTCTCTAATTCACCTTAATACAGCTCTTCTAGAAATCCAGCGTCGCCAATGGTTTGTCCTCGAAGAACTCTTTTAAATCTATTGTGAGTTGTTCATATTCAGCTTATCAAAAATGTGAAGTTTAGTACTCACCACCGTCGTTGCAGTACAGGCCAAATTCTCCACCATATAGTCCCAGTTCTCCCAATATATGCTTCAATCATTTTCTTGTTTTGGGTTACTCTTAGGTTTCCTCCATTTTCAGTATAAGACATCTTCTCCGTATTTTCTCAATTACGATCCAGATAGTTGCAAATGACGTGCTCATGATTTATCAGGTTCACCATTTTCTGTACGTTTTGTAATCAGAGAATTATCAATACGTTGAAGTCTTTTTATTTTACGTAGATTTTACAAAATGTATTTACTATTTTTATGAACATGTGGTTTGAGAGTACCACGTGTTGTAGATTATTCTTTAATAATCTAGATCTATTGTCCGACTTTAAGTAAAAAGTATAATATTTGATGGAATTTATTTCTATGAAAGTTTTCTACCTATCGGGTTGAAAATGAATCACAAAAGAAAAGAACACAACCTGGAGAGCGTAATGCTTTGGTACTGTACTGGATGGCCTGTTTTCAAATATGTGATTCGTAGCACTTATTCGCTTCCTTTCATTTTACTGAACTAGTCCATTAACCTACTGCCATTCATTTGTTGGTTTAGCTCGACTTCGACATGTGCCTTTGTATTCTTTCCTTTAAAGTGTTGAATGTGGCTGAGCGTGATGTCCTCTGGGTGCCTCAGATGCAAGCGTATACCAAAAACTGGTTCAATATAACAGTTCGTTCAAAAGAGCAGATCGACCAGTGGAGTCAGTATGATTCGCACTAAGAGTATCATCGCCGTCCACCTCTTCATCTTCATCTTCATCTTGCGACCCGCTCTCCTTACTGGCTTATGTTGCCGCTTGCGTCGACGAAATATCGCGATTGATTCATTTTCACCAATGGAGTCAGTATGAACCGCACTAAGAGTATCATCGCCGTCCACATTGTCATCTCCATTTTTATACTGTCTCCCACTTTCCTCATTGTCTTCTGCTACTTTATCTGAAACGCCTCGATTATTGCTTGCATCCACTGAAGCCGGCATTCCCATTCGACCCATACAGCTGACTAGCACAAATTCGCTAATATATTCTTTACGCATATTTTTAGCATATTCTCACAAGTGGTAGAGTAATGTGGCGATGTGGTAGGTTAATTTGTTATGCGGAAGACTAAACTAACCCAGATATTAGTTCGTCGCCGACCTATTCCCAGCAACCCTTCCACTAGTCCGAGCTCGGGAAAATGAAAATTGGAAATTCGAAGCTCACTTGTCTTAGAAATGACCACCCTTCCGAATCTACCTCAGAAAGCTGTAGCACAGTTAACGCAGCATTACATGGAGAAACGACTAAATCACTATACAACGACATTCATGACGAAGACAACAATCTTCAAGAAGTAATCGAATCCAGAAGCAAGTGTTCAATAACCTTCTTGGATAAGAGCAGGCGAATCGAAAACAATATGTGCTAGGATCCGCAAAATTCGATACATTTGATGCTGCGTGTTCTCGGAAAGCCACAGAACTCCGTCATGCGAGCGGTCCGCCAGATCAATCCCGCTGACGGGTGATTGCTGTGACAAAGATCGATAGAACTAGTTGAGAGACAGGCAAAATGAAGGGGACCCACCTGGTGTGGTGGTGAACGCGTTACTCCTCGGAAAGGATAATAGCGCGTTCGTTCCCCACCGCATACACCTGCGGTCCGGAGTTTTACAAATATCTCAGCATCATTGAATTTAACCTTTTTATTTACTGCCCACTCTTTTTAATGGCAGAGTATGTTGCGAAATATGACAGCTGTGATGCTGAGATATTGGCAAAACTCCGGACCGCAGGTGTCTACGGTGGAGAACGAACACGCTATTGTCCTTTCCGGGTCAGTCTCTGCCATCAGCAATCACTCGTCAGCGGGACTAATCTGGCGAGCCCAAATTGGCAAAAGCTCCCCACCGCAGACACCTGCAGTCCGAAGTTTTGCAAATATCTCAGCTTAATTGAAGGTGATACCTTATTTGTGAATTTTTTGTGCAGCTCACGAACAATCTTTATGTACTGAGTAGGGGCTCCATGACTGCTTCTATCTCAATTGAGTCAAAGGCCTTCTTTAAATCAATGAAAGTAAGACAGAGCGATCTTTTGTACTGTCGCGATACTTCAATGAGTCTTGCTATCGTGTGGATGTGGTCCATCGTACTAAATCCTTTTCGAAACCCTGCTTGCTCACATGGCTGCACTTCGTCCAGTGTTCTGTCATTCCTGTTAAGGATGACTAGAGCGAAAAGTTAGCAGACGACAGAGAACAAGCAGTTTGGGCGATAGTTGCCGGTACCGTGTAGGTCATCCTTTTTGAACATTGGTACCGTCGTGCTCGTCTTCCATTGAGTAGGAACCTGGTATTCAGATAAGTAACGTGTGAAGAGCCACGCCATTATGTTCATGAGGACTGGCCGAAGGTTCTTCAGGTGTTCAGAACTTATCCATTCCGGACTTGGTGCTGTTCGATTTTTCACCGACGAAATGGTATGCCGCTTTTCGGAAGGGAGAACCGGTGTTACAACATATCCCCGCCCCAGTTTTTAGTGGTTTTTGGACCTCGTTTTTTGAATTTATAGGCTTTTTCTCATATTTGCGAGAAATGGAATCTTGTACAAAGGAGGCAGTGGTCTGATCCAACGACATCGGCTAGGCATGACCTTCTATTTACTATGATGTGGTCTATTTCGTTATGGCACTCTCCACTGCGAGACTCCCACGTTCAGCGTTAAGGGTGGGGCTTCTGGAATTGCTCGTTACCATGGATGGTCTTGGTCGTCATGATAAACTCAGACAGCCGCTCAGTATGTTCGTTCTATTGTAATCTGAGGGTCCCAATGTGACGTTCTTCAGACGTTCTTCTTGGTCCAATCTTGGCGTTGAAATCTCCAATGGTGACCTTGAAGAATACATGGGCCGCTCTGTAGAAGTCATCCAAGTTCATATAGAACGCTTCGACTTGTTTTTCGTCATAGTTTGATGTCGGAGTGTAAACGGCGAAGATTGTCAAAGTCGGTATTGATCCACATATTTCTAATCGTAAACGTCCGATGCGGGTTGTTAGTTGTTCGAACGAATCAATGTTCATGGACAAACTCGTGCTGAGGAGAACGCCGACACCGCTGACTCCTCTACTGTCTCATGTTCCAAGGAACAGTTCCTCTCCGCTGTTATATTCGACGTTGAATAGGTGGCGTCGTCTCGTCTCGGTCAGGCCGATGACGTCGCAAATTATCCTTCTTGGTTACATGAGCAAGTCTTCTATCGAGCACTTGTATTCAAGTGTACGCCCATTGTAGGTACAGATCGTCACCTTAGTTCATTGAAATCCAGTCAGCTTCCATTGGCTCTGAGATTTTAACAGCCTCGCCGTACCTGTCCTACCCAACGCTGTCGAATTGGGGGCTCTTTAGGGGTCAGGGAATGAAACGCGTTTCTTTTACTCTGTTTAGCATTTTGATACCCGCGTATAGCTTTTTGCTCTCTGAGCAACCGATTTACGAGCGCCGTCATTGATTAGGTGCCTCTGGATGTTATACGCACGACAGGAAAACCATCGACTCAATGGTCGGAATCCTTTGAGAAAACCCTAGAAGCGCGACATGATGCCCAACGTTTTCGTAGAGCTATCAGAACCTGCATTGATTTTCATTCACACGAAGGCGTGATATGGAAGAATTACTATTGCCTGCTCAAGTCACTCTACGATCAGAAGGGAGGGCAGAACAGCTTAACAGTGAGTGATCCCGTTAATAACGCGGATGGTTCAACCTACGTGGGCGCTATTTCCACTCTTTCCTAAGCTCAGCATGACCCTAGTTTCTTTGATTCCAACAAATTGCTGCCAGTTTTACCTGGCATAAAATTTATTCTCTCTAATGAGACGCCTAGCAATGTTATCCCAGAATATCGGAAAGAACTGACTGCTTCAGCATCCATTGACATTCGTGCAAAAGACGATAAAGTCCTCAAGCATTCGTCGAAGCCATACGCAGAGGGTTTAAAGACAGTAACAGATGGTGGATGTGTGGAAATGAATTAATGCGAAAAGTATTGAAATCCGCCGCGTGTAATACATGTGATCTAATGCCACGTAGTAATGAGATAATAATAACTCTACCCTAAAGGGATCGAGACAATATTCGTGTCGATGAAAGCATCACATCGTAGTCTCTTGATATTTCACCGAGTTTCGTTGTTACCTGGCCATTATTGACGGGCAGAACTCTTTCAAACTTTGTTTCCCCGAACACTTTGCTTTTTTCCAGTACTCTTTCAATCCCACTGAGAAGAACTTGTGTGAAGAGTTTGTACATTGCGTGCAGCATACGCGGAACTGCATTCTTTTTGCATTCCATTCGTTTCCTCGCATCCACCCTCTACTGAGATCTTCGAACTCTTCGTGCGCGTGTTCGATTGCTGCTCGAGGATTTTTCATCTTCGTCATTAATGTCGTTCAATGCTGGTTAAGTCGTATGTCAATGGAATCCTGGGATGTTCATGATGGGTAGTTCCCACGGGTGTAAGAAAAAACGATGACATCCCAGACAAGTCCGGCAGCATTTCCTGATCCCAGAATGACAGTAAACTCATTGCCTAAGAGTGGGGTTCAGCCTAATTCTGTGTAGATTGGACCTTCCGCACATTAGAAGGCATCGCCACCGCTACACCAACCGCCTCCTTATTTTCGCAGAATTATAGCTATTTATTTTTACAATCTCTAAAAACTACTGTTCGACTTCAGTCTGGATTTCTTAAGTGACATAACAAGGTTGAGGATAGACCTTATTGATAACCACTGCAGCTGCGATATTGTGGGGTGTGGCTGCGTGTTATCGTGGAGACGGATTTCGGTTTACCAATTTGGTACACAGCGTTTAAAGTTTTTTTGTGCATTTCTTTGATATACTGGATGTATTTTTCCGTCTTAATCGTCTTCTCCGCATTAAGGAAGCCATGGTGGATTGACACGCAAAACGGCCCTCATAAACTTCTTTTGGTGCAATTCAGACTTTGAGACGAAGTGAGCAGCTTTACCGTGGTTCAACCATTGAACTGATTTCTGCGGTTTGTGATAGAGAAACCACTTCTCGTCGCTCGTTACAAAACGCTCTAACAATTAATGATTCTAGTCTTACAAAAGAAGCACCAGCGATTTTATTGATTCGTGTTCTAAAAACAGAATAATTCAGCGTTGATCTTCTCATCTAATGTTACGTGAAGAAGTCAAGCCTTGATGATGGCTTTGGCGGTGCACGTTTGGATTTAGTGTGGCAGAGGTTCATGTTTTAGATTACAATCAATCCAAGCTGTTCCCGCTCCAATTTTCGCCAATCCCATCCATGCGATGACAAAATCCATAGAATTCTCCATGAAAGTTGCCATTACGTCGCTAACACGAAATCCATGTCCCTGGAAGTTATTTGCATATCGATTCCTTTCCTTATTGAACCCTTCGTAACCGAAAATTCGTCCAGTTTTAATGTCACTCATTGCTCTTTTATCGCAATTTTTTCAAGAACTTCTAGGAAGACGTTGTGCTGTCACCTATATTCTTGTAATTTTCCCATAAGTCGAATTTTATGTCCAGTATTAAGAATATACCACAAAGATTACGATTCAATGTTATGTATGAACGGTAGGTGAAATCGCCGTAATCGAACGCCGTATAAGTCGATACCACAATTACTAGTACGGCGCCATTTGGAATGCCTTTGGAAAATACTGCCATGACAATGACAATGAGAGTAACTAACTCTTCAAGTCTCAAATCAAGTAGAAGACTTGCCGTTTTTTCAAGAATACCAGCTTCGACACCCTTATTGTGAGGTGGCTGTAGAGAGGATTTAACGTGGAGGCCAACGCCATGCCAAAATCAGATGACCACCTCTGGCAACTGTGTTCTCTATTTAGAAGTTTTCGAATGTATCTCGAATGAGAGAAAAATGTCTCAGCAAACAGAAATCGTTTTCATGCACGTACGCGCAGTTGATGAGAAGACGCCAATCTCGAACTTGGATAACTGAAACTTGAACTCGGGCAAAACTTTATTGACCACCAAC